TTCAGTTTTTAAGATGGGGGACTTGAGGGGATTGGGCTTGCGCCAACCAGGCAGAACTAGAAATCCAAAGTCACTTTTGAACATGGCTCTTGGAAATGTGAGTAGCTCTAACTTTTTGGAAAGTAACTCAAACACTTGGGACTATTAACAGTACCCATCACTTTGGTTCTAACAGGTCTGCCTCTGATATTTAGCTGCTAAAAATAGAGGTATGAATTGTTTAGGAAATATGCATGAGGGTATCTAATGTAGCATTGTTTCTAGTGGTCAATATCTGGAAATATAGTTCATGTCCATTGGTATCGAAATAGTTCAACAAATGATGGTATAGCTAAACTAGCAGTCGATGTCTCATTTGATTAACTATTAACTAGAGGCCTGGTGCACGAAATCATGCACAGGTATGGTCCCTAGGCCAAGGCTGTGATCAGGGCCATCTCGCTGCCACCCACCCCGGTTCCCCATTTGCCATCCGGCGATGGGAGCCTGATGGCTGGGGGAGGGACCGAGAGGTCGGCTATTGCTGCCTGCTCGCTGGCCCCACCCCTGCCGCGGGTCGCCCTCTGTGTGTGGGGCAACCGGCGGGGCGGGGCCCTTGGCCTGGCACCACCTGCATTCCTGGCCACCCACCCTGGTTCCCGTTTGCCATCGGCGATTGGAGCCTGTGGGCCTGGGGGAGGGACCAAGAGGTCGGCCATTCTGCCTGCTCACCAGTCCCACCCCCCACTGCCTCCTACCCCAGTTCCTCATTCGCCATCAGTGATGGGAGCCTGCCTTCCAGGGAAAGGGACTGAGAGGTGGTCAGTGCTCCTCATAGTGACTGGTTGAGCCGTCTTTCTGGTCATTCTGGTTCTGCTGTTATGGTCACTGGGCTTTTATTATATAGGATTATGAAGTTATTTTTAGAAAACAACAAATAAAAATGGCAAAACTCTTCTATTTGTGTGTTTTGTATAAAATTTTATTTTTAAAAACCTGCGTGGAGGGATATACATGCAGGTTATCTGAGGAGGGTGGGATGGGGATATTATGTATCTTAATTCATTTTTATTTTTAGCTTTATTACAATAAGTACATTTCACTCCTATAATTAAGAAAAATATTTAATGAAACAACAACCCCTTAAAATTAAAAGAAATATTACTAGTAGGTACCAGTTAATTTTGAAGGGGAACCCTTAAGGCAGTCAAAGCTCAAATTTTTTAGGCTTTGTAGATTAAATTCGGTAATAAAATTACTCCCAGACACACACAGGCACGAGTACAGACTGTGCAAAGATGGTTTCTATTTGTTCCTTGGTGCTCTGCAGCCCACGTATTAGTTGGTATGCACATAAAATGCAAGGTTGAATATAAAGGTATGGAAACGAGGGGCAGACTCAGGCCAGAGAGATGTTAAAAGTCTCTGTGATGAGTTTATATGGAAAAATGTTCTCCCCTCCTTCCTTGTCTCCTGAAACTCTACCAGCCGCTGGAGTTCTGAGCTCACCACGTGCTGCTGTGTGCTGAGACCCCAAAGCTCAGATCAGGAGCCCACGATAACCTTTGCTGCATTATGTAGATATTTTTCCTGCTTACCATCATCACTGTTGGCCTTTTATGGATTAAATCTCAGCACATTTTTTATGATGTCAGAACTCAAGTCTTTCTAGCGTGGCAGCAGTGAAATGGAGCTGTCAGAATCGGATAAAAATGATATGATGGCCCCTGAATCTCCACCTATTTCTTCAAATGGCCTCATGCTCATACTGAATATGGCGGGTGATAAAATAGGGTCCTGTGTGTCTCTAGACATGATAACCCTTTCAGAGGATGAATAGTCTTTTATGTCCATTGTATGGGTTTGCTGCGAGCCTGAAATGCCAGTGCCTCCTGATGGGTCAGGTCTTCCTGGAGCTGTTGCCCCCTCCATAGCATTGCTGTTAATATGGTTATGAGTGAAAAAAAAGCTGCTTTGATCTTAAAAGAACAATTAAAAAAATATTTACCCTGTGTGATTGGTTAACTGTGTGGGGAAAAGGTATCTTCTCAGCTTACACCATACAAAAGTCAGTTCCAGATGGATTAAAGAATTATGTACCCAAAGAAACTATAAACAGCTGGAAGAAAAAAATATGTTTGAATATGGGTAAGGACAGCTTTCCTGAGTAGAAACCATAACGAAAGAAACCATAAAAGGAAATTCTGGGGCTATATATAGATCAGATACTTTTATATTCCCCCTAAATCATAAATCAAAAATCTCATGCTTACAAAATCTGTACATTTTTGCATCATATATAACAATCTGTGTACTGTAAAGGGATTTATAAAGATGTGAACAGATCTTCAGCCTCATTAGTAATAAAAAATGCAAATTGAAATAAGCAAATATTATTTCTACCCATCGTAATATCAAATTAAGACAAGAAACTATCATTATCTTATGTCCAAAGTAAAGGGACTACTTTTAGCCAATTGGTGGGGCTACCTTTTTGAGGGTATTTCCAAGTGCGTATCAGGAATCCCTATGATCCAGTGGTCTGCTGACATAAATAACCTTGAACTACAGGTTTGTACACTGGCTGAGGATGTCAGGTACCTGGAAGATCTGAACCTGTCTTGTCTTGGTCGGGAGGTTTTCATTAACTTTATCTATTAGATATGGAAGGACCTAGAGACCCCCGTGGGTTCTGGCTGCCCCTGTCTGCACCCCGATTTTCTCTTGGTAATTGTGATCATTTTCATCCTGCAGAGTAACCTTCTTCATTCCCCCAAATTGAATTGTTGTGGCCTCTGGTGGAAACTTTCCTTCCTGGGAACCAGTCCAGCGGAGCTCAGGGTCATGGAAATGGGAAGAAAAATCCTGTGAGCGGGTTATTAGATGTAATCGTGACAGGCGGTCACTCCCTCTTCTACCCGTTGTTACCAGACCTCTGTTCGGACTGTGGAAGAGACAAAAGCCCTGCTTGCTGATTCAAAACATCCGCTTCATTGTTGTAAGCTAGAGCCCAGCTTTTCATTGTGTTTCCCAGTTGGCCCTGGGACTGAGTTGTCAGGAGGCCGTTTCTTCTTTTAGTCAAGCTGGGCTTTTCTAATGGGCTACTGGCGAGATGAGGGAATTTCATGGGCTGGAGCATGTTACCGTACTTCTTTTGCTATCAGTAAGTTCCTTGATCAGGTATCTATTTATGTTGAGTACCATGATAGTAAATGAGTTAGTTACTAACTAACTTACTTAGTGGTGCTAAGCCTCATGCAATGGAAGTTTCAAAAAAGACGTTTCTTTTGGAACCCTGTTGAATATATACATCTTTTAGGAATTTGATGAAATGTACAGATATCCCTCTGTGACTGTAGATATCTAATTTGTTACTGTTGTCACACATATGTACTTACAGTTTCATATATAAGATAATGTATTGCTTTAAAAAAGCAATAACAAAAATAAAATAATGTATTGCTTTAGGATTTTTTCGTTATTACATTTCATAAAATATACTTATTTCAACAGTCCACGTGCCCCTTTTTAAACTGCTTTATTGAAGTGTCACCACAGAGTTTGACATCAGTTCCTTGAGTTTGTTCTGTGTCACCTGACACAGTATTTCAGAGTATACCTTCTCGTTTTGCATTTAAATTGTCTCTGATATAGCACTTTTTACACCCCTGTATGATGCTTTCACTGAAAGTTCTTTTTTAATAGTAGACAGTTGTCTGAGGCACTTTTTTTGTTTATGTGTAATCTACACAATTTGATGTGATTATTTATTAAGTGGGTATGTATTTTATCCAGCACTCTTCATTCTTGTTCTGTTGTGGTGGGAAGGTGTGGCTGACTAGCCTAACTCACCTTCACCCGAAACTAGACGACTACTGTCTTCTTTCTTGAAGTCTCTCTACTGGGCAGCGTGGCTCCTTTTCTTGGTTTTCTTCATTCTTCACCAGTCGCTCATTCTCCATTTCTCTTGCTGGTCCTTTTTCATCTGTTGGCCTGTGTGGTAGTGGTTCCAAGGCCCAGTCCTGAGCCGTGTACTCCCCAGGTGATGCATTAATTCAGTGACCTTCAACAGCATCTGCTGCAGGAGCACTTTCACATTAATGCCAGCAGCCTGACTGTCCCTGGGAACTCAGACCTGCACATCAGCTGCCAACGCGACATCGGCATTGCTACATCTAATAATGGTTTTCCTGCCGCGGACTTGTTACTCTAGTGATCCTCTCCCATCTCGATCAGTGGCCACTCTGTCCTTCCTGTTGGTTAGCTGCATGGAGTTACTCTTGGTTTCTATCTTTTCTTTTCTTTTTTCTTTTCTTTTCTTTTCTTTTCTTTTCTTTTCTTTCCTTTTCCTTTCGTTTCTTTTCTGTCTCTCGTGTCCAACCAATAGCAAATCTAATTATTTATACCTTACAAAGACATCCAGTATCTCATCAATTCATATCCTTCCCACACTACCACCACAGTTTCTCACCGGAGCTGTGACAGTTGCTCTTAACTGGTCTTCCTGTGTTTCTATGGTCTGTTCTCACAGTCTCTAGAGTGCTGACTTTAACACAGATCAGACCAGGCCACTCCCCCCTATTCAGGGTAAAGTGCAAGGTTCTTACCACGGCCTGCAAGGTCTGACAAGGGCTAGAGCCTGGTTTGCTCTCTGATCTCCTTCACTGAGCTCCGGCCACAGAAGAACACACCACCCATGGCCTGGCCTTTGGGATATTGTATGTACCTCCCGACTGCCTGGAATGTGCGGCCCTCCCTTCAACACATTCCCGACCTCTGTTACAGGACATCCTGCCAGAGGGCCTGCTCTGACCTGTGACTAATTGTCTTACTCTCCTTTAATCTTTGCTATAAGGCTTATCATCACCTTAACTATTTCTTAGGTATTTATTTGTTAATTGCCTCTTTCTTCCCACTTGAATTTGCATTCCATGAGCTGAATACCCACCCACTGGAAAAATGCTCAGCACGCAGTAGACACTGCAAATACCCATGAAGTGAGTGAATGGGATGTCGTCATCCTTGCTGTCACTGAGCTCATTTTACGATAGGCGCTGCCCTGGTGTAGGTACTAGGGGGTGAGACAAGTACAGGACATGGCACATTTGGCCACGGAAGCATGGGGATGCAGTAGGTGGACATTCTAGAAGGCAGGGAGGGAAGCACAGAGGTGGATGTGTGTGGAGTGAGCATAAGGATTCCTTTAGAGATGGGATTAAGGAAAGTGTGGTCCAGTTAGTGGGAATGAATCCTGGGGGAACATGGGGGTGGGAGTAGATTGGGAAACACAGTCCTGGGGAGAAATGATCCTATTAAAGGCACTGGAGGCAAAAAAAGAAGGGATCTTATTTATTTGTGGTCTACTTGGGTTACTGTTCAGATTGTGGATCTTTTTAACTTGATACCCTTGTAGGACACCAGGAAATATCATGTGCAGTTTGGTTGTAGAGTAATTGTAAAGTGTTTATGGATACTACACTCAAATGTCCCCATATTTTATTCCTTTCGTAGACTGTGAATTCTTTTAGTAACTAATGTTGCCTTGTCAGTAAAGTGAATTTATTCTGTAGCTTGTGTAAACACATTCTTTAATGGGAGGCATTGGGGAGAGCATCCCAGAAGGAAGAAACGGAGCATCATTCTAGAGTTCGTTTCATATTGTTATGGAGCCCATCAGTCTTTTATTTCTCCCAGCAGAGCCAGTGAGCATGTTCGGATGTGTTAACAGCCTGTACTAGTGTTTGAAAACTGTTCGGGTAGCTTTTGCCTTAAAGATCTTTTAAACTATGCTAATTAAGCTGCACGTGATTAAATTTTGTCATAGATCATTTAAATTTTAGAGAAAAATATGACTCCTTATAGACAAGTGAGAATTTACTTTTCTATACTCTGCAAATTTTGGATTTCGCTTATGAAATAGTGGAGTCCTATTTCTTTGGTTTACTCATTAATCGAGGTTTTGTGGTCAGATTCTTTAAGCAGTACTGATATATTTCTGCTGATTTAGGCATATTTTCTCTGCAATGACCAATGTCATATACTTGTTAGAGTGCGGCTTGGGCTGTCATCTGCAACTAGAACAGAGGATGCTAACCGGCTTACATGGCACTTACGCCTTTTTAAAAAATATATATTTTATTGATTTTTTACAGAGAGGAAGGGAGAGGGATAGAGAGTTAGAAACATCGATGAGAGAGAAACACCGATCAGCTGCCTCCTGCACACACCCCACTGGGAATGTGCCCGAAACCAAGGTCCATGCCCTCGACCGGAATCGAACCCGGGACCCCCCAGTCCCCATGTCGATGCTCCATCCACCGAGCCAAACCGGCCAGGGCTGAAATAATTTTTTGTTTTGCAGAGAGTTAGAAACATCGATGAGAGAGAAACACCGATCAGCTGCCTCCTGCACACCCCTCACTGGGGACGTGCCTGCAACCAAGGCACACGCCCCTGACCGGAATTGAACCCGGGACCCTTCAGTCCGGCAGTCCGATTCTCCATTCACTGAGCCAAACTGGCCAGGCCTGCACTTACGACGTTTGATTTAGTTTTATCCTTATGTGTTCACACACAAGGCTCCAAATAATAATAAGCAGAAAGGCAGAACCATGAATAAATCTGCTGAGAGGGCCACAGAGATTCTAAGGGTTAAGGTTTCAGTACCCTTTACGTGTATTTATTACGTGTAAACTACCTCTTTGCAGTTGGCAGTGGGAGCTGGTTGGAAGTTCTCCCTGAGAAGTAGCAGTTGGCTGGGATGAGTGTGCGAACAGAGCTGGGAGATGGATGGCGGCCAGGGAGGCCAGCAAGAGGGCCATTGCACAGGGGCCTTTGCCGGATGCAGTCAGCGGGCTCTGTGCCTTTAGAGCAGTGGTTCTCAACCTGTGGGTCGCGACCCCCTTTGGGGTCCAACGACCCTTTCACAGGGGTTGCCTAAGACAATTGGAAAACACATATATAATTACATATGGTTTTTGTGATTAATCACTATGCTTTAATTATGTTCAATTTGTAACAATGAAATTGGAGGTCACCATAACATGAGGAACTGTATTAAAGGGGCACGACATTAGGAAGTTTGAGAACCACTGCTTTAGAGCATTGAGGGGAACGGGAAGACGACTGGTGGGTCCAGCAAAGGGGATGGATATGGGCCTAAAACTTGTAAACAGCATCCTGAGTATCTAGAACAGTGATGGCGAATCTTTAGAGCTCGGCGTGTCAGCATTTTGAAAAACCCTAATTTAACTCTGGTGCCGTGTCACATATAGAAATTTTTTGATATTTGCAACCATAGTAAAACACAGACTTATATTTTTGATATTTATTTTATATATTGAAATGCCACTTAACAAAGAAAAATCAACAAAAAAAATGAGTTCACGTGTCACCTCTGACATGCGTGTCATGGGTTCGCCATCACTGATCTAGAGTGATGGTCCAATATGACCCCGCGTTCTGGGGTGGACACGGTTGGTTCAGAAATTGATGTTGAAGAAGAAATAAGTGCATTAAAAGGCAGATATCATAAAACTGCTGGACAAAAGGACATATGAAACCTGGTGATGGAGCAAAACTCTTTCTTTGGATTTATGGACACGATTTACTAAAGGAACTGGAATTCATGCAATTGGCCCGAGGTTCCAAGCAAGTTGAATATGTTGAATACTGATGACAAAGTGCAGGCAACCTGTGGTTGGTTCTACTTTGAATCTTCAAAACTCCAAGAACCGTCTTCTGTCCAGATGCCTTTGTTTGCCTTTCACTGTCACCCGGGGAATGCGGTTTCTTTTCATGGGCCCAGGGCAGATGACGTCGTCAGGGCGCTGTCCTGTCATACCCTGGCGGAGATGCCAGTTGTCTGTCTGTCTTTCTGCATAAATGAGAGACTTTTTCTGAGACCAAAACGGGCTGCGCCTGACCTGTTGCTGCCAATCTGAATGTCAACACGATTGGGTCTGCCCGCCCCCTGGAGCCGGTGCCTCGGTGGCGGTATCTCCAGACAGATGCCATCAGCTCTCTTCTGCGAGGTGACCGGTCGCACTCTTCTGCTTGCAGGCTGGTGATGCACATCGAGAGGGACAGCAGGAAGACCTCCCCAGGCAAGGAGCGGCAGCCGAGCGGCAGCGAGTACCTGGCCAGGTGCCTGGACCTCCTCATCCGCCACATCGTGCGGGAAGTGCCGCGCCTCCTGGGTAAATCGCAGTCTCCTCCCGGGCCCCTCGCTGCTCACCTTGCCGGGACTTGATTTTTTTTTTATTCTCGCTGGTGTGTGATTGCAGGCGAGTGCAGTGCCACTCTGTCTTGAATGTGTAGTTTCAAGATCTCCACATGCCTTATCTCTCTTCCTGGTTATTTTGCATCAGAGAGGTGATGGAGGGAAGGGGCCGGCTAAAGGCTATGTTGGGGTGTCATCGATGGTAAATGGGTGGTTTTGAAAAATAAGTAAAAGAAAAGCATTTTACTTGCTCAAAATTGGACTTAGGCTCTTATCTTGGGTAGCCTTTCTTAAATTTCTCTCTGCTTAAGAAACTTACTCTCTTAGATGAGAACCACAGATTAATTTATTGTTAAAAGGACCTAGGAATGCATAACCATTAACATTTAATATTAATGGCTTTTGATATTAAAATTTAAAACTTTCTATAGTTTGAAAAATTAAAAAATATCTAATAATGATTTGCAAAAGATGTTTATTACAGCTAATCCCTTATTTCATTGTTATTTGCAAAAATTAAAATCTAAGGGGTGCTTACGTTTAGTTTAAATCCCATTCCATGCTTCTGCAGCAGATGTAGCGTGAAACCAGGAATGTGTAAATGCTAAATTGACCCCACCCATTATGGTAAAATATACTTAGACTCTGAAATTCATGATATGAGGTCGGAGTAATGGAAATACCTTCATGGCTGGACGATATGCCTCTGTCCCTCTTGCTGATACTTTGGGAGATGTTTTTGCCTGTTAATGACTGAAAATAGAGCATTTCAAAATTTATTTTGCATTGTCACCTTTCTTTAACCTTCAGTCTGAAGGCTTTGTGAGTCGAGTTTTTTACTACTAGACTCATTCTGTTCAGGAGATGATGATACGGTTCAGTTATCCACAACACAAGTTTTATTTACTATTGGGCTTATCATCCAATGACAAGTTTTATGAATTGACCTGTTTTTTATTTCCACCTATTCTATTATTAGAAATTGTGATCTATAATCTGTTCACTTATCTTTAATTTTTTTTTTCTGTTTACCAAAGTAATAGGCACTTATGCTTGAAATTTGGAAAACACACACAAAAGGAAGGAAAATTATTTCTAAGACTCCCCCCCCTCCCCCCACACACACCGTGCTATTTATAAACTCAGATTTCTAGGTGAGAGATTTAGAAGCCACAGCTTTCTGTTATAGTCTCAGTATTTGTAAGTAATCTCTCAGCTTCTCTCCACTCCATTTATATGGAGGTTCATTCCCTCAGCAGTCTTACTAGTTTTCCAGCCGTGACAGGTGGTCCCTGAGTATCCGTGACCTTCACCCCCGCAGGTGACATTCTCACCGCCCTGGCTAACGTGTCCGGTCGTAAACACCCGTCAACGGTTCAGGCGAAGCAGCTGAAGCTTTGTCTCCCCCTGATGCCCGTGGTGCTTCACCTCGTCACCTCCCAGGTATGATCTTATCCAGAGAAAAATAACATGACTGCGACTCCCTTCTTTTTTTAAAAAAAAAAAAGTTTTTATTTTTTTAAAATTTTTTAGAGAGAGAGGAAGGGAGAGGGAGAGAGAGATAGAAACATCAGTGATGAGAGAGAATCATTGATCAGCTGCCTCCTGCATGCCCCCTACTGGGGATCGAGCCCACACCCCTGGCATGTGCCCTGACGGGGAATTGAACCAGCAACCTCTTGGTTCATGGGTCGACTTTCAAATACTGAGCCGCTCTGGCGAGGCTCTGACTCACCTTCTTTGTAAACTAGAGCTGAGAAACGCCGACTCAGACAAAACATGTTCGTTTTTTTCCCCTTGTACATGACTTTCAGGATCTAATCTATGGAAACTCTCACCACGCAGGTATTTCGACCTCGAGTTGTAACGGAAGAGTTCCTTTTCAGTTATGGAACCATTCTTGTGAGTAACACTGAATTTTTCATGTCCCTAATAAAAATGTGGCTGTCTCTACTGTTGGTGGAATTTGGTGTCAGAATGAGATAATTTTAAAATTCTCGTGGCATTTATTTGTCTCTAGGGAGGCGACCTTTTTCTATTTTTATCTGTTGACTGTAATAAAATTTGACATTTGGAGAAAAATGCATTTTCTCCTGATAATGTATGTTGTTCACAGACAGCCCCAAGTAGGGTAAGTAAGTCCATAGCAAACACTTTTGTCCACTTTGGCATTACACATTCTGAGAAAATTTTAAATAATAAAACTGGTGGAAAGGGAATGCGGGGGATACATTGTCATTATTATTTGCATTGGTTTACCTTGCCCAATTATGTGCAGTCACTTTTTATGATGGCACTTCTCTAAGTTAAGCATAATTTAACCTTTTCTTTAATTTTGATGAGATGGGTAGCAATGAAAAACAAATCATTGTGCTCTCTTTCATTCCAGTTTTTGCTCATAAAAATAGTCCTTGTGTTCAGATTGTGGCCCATGAATTATATTATCTTTTGCCCTTGCCTGGCAGTTGCAGTACGTATCCTCCATAAAATGGGGAGCTTTTCAGAGGGATAGCTAAGACATTTGTCATGCAGCTCTTCCACTTTTGCTTTGATGTTTATTAAGAACACTGAACTGAGATTTTAAAAATGCTACAGAGGTGTCTGTTAAGTGAAGCAAACATATCAAGGTTATTGGTTTGTTTTTTTGGTTTTTTTTTTTGGTTTGTTTGTTTGTTTTGAATAAAAAAAGGATTGTCACCCACAAGTGAGAATAGAACTTTCTACCAGTGGTTCTCAACCTTCCTAATGCCGCGACCCTTTAATACAGTTCCTCATGTTGTGGTGACCCCCAACCATAAAATTATTTTCGTTACTACTTCATAACTGTAATTTCGCTACTGTTAGGAATTGTAATGTAAATGTCTGATATGCAGGATGTATTTTCAGGGGTCACGACCCACAGGTTGAGAACCACTGTAGGCTAGACGGTCCATCATAGGGTGAAGGATGGTTTGAAGCACAGATGTGGAGTGCAGGTCACTGATTTTAGTAAGAAGTGTGTGCAGGCAGTGCAGTGGGGTCCTTTTGTGCTCAGTTTCAAATCTTTATCACCCCGACGCCTTGAATCCAAATTCTACAAAGTACATAATTTTTGTTATACGCTCATTATTAGAACATTGTTTACCACCTTCTTTAATTTGCTCTTCAATCTGCTTCTATGTACAATATGGGTATCATTGTAACATGACTGTAATTCTGCATTTTGAATCCCATTGCACTCCATATCAATGCGTGGAAATAGTAATTTTGCTTGTGGAGCCCACCTTGGAGTATTTTGGCACAGTGTTTGTTTGGGACAGGTGTAACTGCCCCTGTGTTCATTCTCTTACTTTTTCTCAAGGGCAATACTTTTCTCTGCCTACATTTACTAAGTACACTGTAGTTTTCAAGAGAACTACCAAGTGTCTCCAACATAAAGGTCTTTATGGACTAACAGGAATTACATGGGTTTTAGGGGAGAACTCATCTGCTCCACGTAATTCAGAAACAAGGGAGGAGGCATAATGTGGAAAGGTCTCTTAACCTTCTCCCAGATGTGGGTGTACTCTGTGAGGGGTATTCTGTAGGGGCTTCTTTATGAAGGCCCTTTTAGGAATGGAAAATAACTTACCTGGGCCCTACCTGGTTTGGCTGTGGATAGAGTGTCACTGGTCTGCGGACTGAAGGGTCCCTGGTTCGATTCTGGTCAAGGGCACATGCCCAGGTTGTGGGCTCAGTTCCCAGTAGGGGGCATGCAGGAGGCAGCTGATCAGTGATTCTCTCTCATTGCTGATGTTTCTATCTCTTTCTCCCTCTCCCTTGTTCTCTGAAATCAATAAAAATATGTTAAAAAAAAGAAAGAAAATAACTTATTTGGTTCAAAGATAACTGTGATATTGGAACATTTTTATCAGTTTTTTCCCCCTTATAATGTCACTCAAATAGAGGGAGTTTAGGCCAATTAAATGGAAAAGGTCTTTGAGCTCTCCTCAGGACATTTTCCTAGATGGAATCTGGGCCAGTCCCAGAATTCTTTTGTTATTGTTCTTATCACATCTGTTATCTGGCCTTAGCTGTGTGTTGGCACTGATGAAATACTAGTAAAAGAGAGAGAAGTATTAACTCAAATTAAAGACCTGGATTTTGTTATCCACACAGTTCTGTGCACATGAGTCATTGAGGTTGGATGTTGCTTCTATGAGTTAATTCCTAATCTATCCAGAAGATGCCAAAGATTGTAAACCATTATCAAGGCAATAGTGACCTACTGATACCATGAGGCACAGTCTACTCCTGTGTCTCAGAGCCCCTTAGAAATTCACAGTGCTGGTGAGCAAACTACTGCCTCTTGAGTTTTCTGCTTTAAGAGTATTCTTTTTAATTTTGTTTAAACAAAAGTCTCCTAAACTTGTTTGAGAGGCTTTGTTTTTGTTTCGTTTGGGCTGCACAGCTGTAAATGTCTGTAGCCCAGTCCATAGAATGACTTTGTGGAAGTATTCTGAGCACAGTGCGTCCCTGTCTTGGTGTCATGTTCCATTCATGTGTAGTAGATACTTAGCATGATGTTCGGGAAACCTTCCTGGTCTATCTGTCAATAAATACCATTTTCTGTATTTTTCAAGATTTATCTGGTTGAGTAGCTACTGTATGTACTATGGCAGGTCTATTATCTTTTCATATTTTAAAAATATGCCTTAATTTGAAGTATTCAAACTTGGTCCACCTTTAGTAACTATCCAGTAGCACAACTTGCTGCCAAGAACTTTCTAGACTTCTGCTACAGCAGCTCTGCAGGGGCTGTTGGCCTGCCTCTGGTGGGCGTGGAGACGGCAGTCAAGGTTGGTGTGATTTCCGCTCATTAAAAGGGTCCTAAAGGAGCAGGCTAGAGGGGGCTTTGGAATTGTGCTTCCCATTGGCTTCCATTTCTGTACTGGTACCAGCACATGGTTTGCCTCTTTGATCTGTGGACATTTTTATTTTTTAGGTAGAAAAATTTAGGATACTTCTTATATATGGAGGCATGAGTATAGGAATTAACCTCCCCCTGCCCCCAAGTAAAACAAAGTTTTGATCTTCTTATATTTAAAAGAGGCTAGTATTTGGGGAAAAAATCGGCAAGATACTTGTAAACCATTATTAAGTTTTCAAAGGCTCCAGGCAAAAGAGGGCTATACAGCTGCTAATTGTTCTTTTCAGTTCTTATTGACAGAAGCAGTGTGTCATCATACTTGTTTTCCTCTTCAGTAAAACAAAGAACCTAAGGACACTGTTAGCAGTAAAGTATATGGCGGGTGCGATGGGGAAATTCCATGGTGAATACTGTCATTTTCTGGGCCTCCATTGAATTGGGCTGGGAAACAGGAAGTGATGACATTGAGGAAATATGTTCGGGAACTCATGGTGTGTACTAACCTAAGTTCACTGTGCTTCTCTTGTCCTTTTGAAGATGCTCTTGATTAATGAGCTGAGGAAGAGAACTTTGCTGTGTTGTTCTTAAGTTCTGGCCTCACTAGTTGATAAAAGCGTCATGGTTGTGTGGTGGTTATAGTTTTCTACAGAAAGGCATCACAATTCAAATTTTCAAATAAAAGAGGAGAAAGAAATGATAACATTATTTTGATAGATTTTCATGCAAGAATATAATTACGAACTCCGTCATTCATGAATCTTTATGTACCCTGGCACTGAGATAGTTATTCTAAGAAAAGACATACTTCCTGCCTTCTGCAGATTCTTATTTGAAATAGATTCTGCAGATTCTTATTTTAAGCGGATGTTGCTTTGTTGATTGATTTTTTTACTTCAGTTGCAGTAAATAAAGCAGAGAGAGTGCAATCTTATATTTGAAAAAAATATATAATTATTCATTGCCAAGCAAATGTTCTTGTTATGAGTTTTTTCTCCTTTTTCTACAAACCTTGAATTCATATTCTCAGTTTGCTACAGGAACTTATTTTCAGCTTCTTCGCAGTGTAGCACTAAATGATATTGAATAGCACCGCCTGCCCTGGAGCCATAGCTTTCCATTTTTCCCTTTAGATGCGGCCGTGTTCTGCCCTGCACTCCTTCCCCCAAGGAGCCCATCTGTGGGGAGGCGTTCATCCTTTTAGCTCCTCTGCTAAAACCCCCAGCTTTGAAACTTGCACCATCAGAAGGTAGCCTGCGTTACCCCTGTGCTGTGACACAGACTTCATGGTCATTGCCCCTCATTCCTCAGAATCTTCCTTCATTGGGCCACTGCCAGTCTCTCCGTGCTGCTCCTAGTACCACTCTTAGAGAATTGGATATCCCTACGGAGTGCCCTTCCAACACAGCCTCTGAGCTCCTCCGCCACCTTCTTGCCTTTCCCTCCACAGCTGCCTACACCCGTGAACTTACTTGCAGCATCACACTGGCCTTCGCTCCTAATTTTCAGTGCCTCTGTTCCCCCTCTCCCACAGCCCTTTCATTCCTCTGCGACTTCAGTTGGTCTTTCCACTCTTCATCCTGCCCTCTGATGGCCCAACAGCTGCCTTTGGTCTTTACTCAACTTAGGGTTCCCTAGAGTTCCAGCCCCCTTCCCTGCCCTGGATTCACTTGTACCTCCCTTCCCTCCGTTTTCTCCATTGCCCTCCTCTGGCAGAGCCTGATCCTGGTTCGACTCAGTTCTCTATGTATCCACCCCTGCTCTGAGGGGCTACATATAGCTAGAGAAGAACAGCATGTGCGTAGCTGGTCTCACTTTAAACTCATGACTGCTCGTCTCAGGGGCACCTTCTGCAGACTGGGGGGTGCATCTAGCTCACATTCCTGTTTTGTGTACCTGCACGCTCACCTACATGACCCTTAACAAGTTCCCCCTTCCCTTGAATCTCCAGTGCCTCCTACTCTGTCCTCACTCTCACCTGCGTCATTCCCATCACACTGAGAAGGAAGAAGAAACATATCAAGACATTAAAATTGGTAAATCAATGAGGCATTAAGTGGGGACTTAAAAAATCAAACAGGGAGGCATAAGGAAGAAAAGAAGCTAAAAGAAGTCACAGAACTCCGATTGACATTTAGAAAGAAAAAGTGAATACACAGGCACGGTTAGAAAATTCCAGCAGTGCGGACAGGCAGACAGTGAGAACACGCCACCCTTCCCCAAAGGGAACCTCTTACCTTCACTCTTGCAGGTTGTCCTTTCTGGACTTACCTTGCTATTGAATTCATTCCAACGTTAAGTCTCATCGATAGTGATTGGGATGTTTAAGAATGATCATAGTGAATAATGTATATATACTGATTCAGATGATCATATTTTATAACAGTGATTATGGTGTTCATAATTCGTGTATAGTATTCAATGCCTGCCATGAGTTATTTCACTAAGAATGGTAGGTGATTTGGGGGGCAATTGTTATCTATGTTTTATTTCAGAGTTATTTTGAAAAATCCCCACTTACTAGTATTTTTATTTTTCAGAGTCATATTAAGTCGATAGAGCATGAGTTATTTCACTAAGAATGGTAAGTGGTTTGGGGGGCAATTGTTATCTATGTTTTAGTTCAGAGTTATTTTGAAATCCCCACTTACTAGTATTTTTTATTTTTCAGAGTCATATTAAGTCGATAGACTCAGGAGAAACTAACATAGAAGGAGCCATAGGTGAGTAGGCACCATAGGGACATTTTACATCCTTGACTGAGGTACTTTGATATTGTGATTTTGAGCATGTAAACAAACACCGGTAATAATCCCCTGTATTTCTAGGACTGATGGCATCGGAAGAATTTATCAAGATCACGTTGTCGGCTTTTGAAGCAATAATACAGTATCCTGTTTTACTGAAGGACTATTGCTCTACGGTCAGTCCTGGCAGCTTTTAAAAAATAGGCTTTTTCATTTACTTCGGAGTTCTGCATATTGTAGAAATCTGAGTATGTGCGTATATCATAATTTATTTACTTTTGAAAGCCATTTAAGTTTGAGTATCCAGGTTTGTTTTGCTCCTCAGTTACATAAGTAATGGGCAGCACACCTTACATATAGACAAAAACAAAAGGCCCAGATCATTTGAGTTGTTTAAATTTAAACACTCGTTACGTACAAATATGTTTTAGTTTTATGTCTATGGAGGAAATAAAATGAATCATATACATTTTCTTCAATTTCGTAAGTCTTTTGTTTGCATTCCTAGGAGTTATATTTATTTCCCTCAAATATCCACTCAAATATCACATCCTAAATTATTGTGAATAGATATTTGAAGTGAGGACTGGAGAATACAGTTTTTCCCATAGGAAAGCCTCTCCTCACATAATTGGCATAACTATTGCTCTTGAGAAAACATGAAATCTGTTTTCTCTCTTTTTTAAAAATATGTTTCTATTGATTTCAGAGAGGAAGGAAGAGGGAGAGAGATAGAAACATCGAGAATGGGAATCATTGATCGGCCACTTCCTGCATGCTCCCTACTGGGATTGAGCCCACAACCCAGGCATGTGCCCTGACCAGGAATCAAACCATGGCCTCCAGGTTCATTGATCAACGCTCAACCACTGAGCATGCTGGCCTGGCTTTTTAAAATCTTTATTGTTGAAAGTATTACAAATGTCCCTTTTTGCCCCCATTGATCTTTGTCCCCTTTTAAGACTTTTTGGAGGGGAAGGCCTTTGGTTTTCTTAGCTAAATGTGAACCTGCTTTTATTTATTCTGCTTAGGATTCTCTGTGCCTCTTAGATCTGGATTGTCCTTTTTCATAATTTCTGGAAAATTCTCAGTTATCATCTCTGCTTATTCTCTCTTTTTTTGCTCTGTCTTCTTCAGCTACTCAGATCACGTGTACACTAAACTTTCTCACTATATTTTTGATATATTCCATCATTTTTCTCTTTTAGGGTTATATTCTGGATAATTTTGTTTATATTTTGGCTAATTCTATTTCTGTCTTCCATGTCCAGTGTGGTTCTAAATATAGCCATTGAGTTTTTAATTTTGGTTATTTTTCATGTGTAGAAGTTTTGTTATCATTAGAAATTCTGCTTATCTGTTTTTTTTCAATCTACTATATTTTTTATAATTTTTTCCCTCTACATATTTCCTAGTCTGTGATTGATGTATTCACATTTGTTGGATGTAGTTGTTTTACACTATTTGTGATAATTCCAATATCAGAAGACTGCGGTGCGCTGTGGTGTCTGTCAGATCTTGTTTGTGTCCACATCAGCTTGTGTTCTTGGAGGCCGTCTTTACATCCACTGCTTGTTGGCCATGACCTCCCCGAAGCCGTGGGTGGTGTTCCCTCCTCCAAGAGGCTTCAGGCTTGTCCGGGCTCTGTCAGTCAGGGCTCCTTAGACACAGGTCCTTTGCACCCCTTTTGCAAGTCCCTGAGACTATGGTCTGAGATCCTAACTTCCTAGGGCAGCCTTCTCAGCCTGGCTTTCCTTATCAGTGGTCAGCAAACTGCGGCTCGCGAGCCACACGCGGCTCTTTGGCCCTTGAGTGTGGCTCTTCCACAAAATACCGACTTCTACGCACGGGCCACGAAGTTTCAATCGCACTTTACATGCGCGCCCACAGTTTGCCGACCACTGCCTTATCTGAACGGAATCTCCACTCCTCAGTGCCCGGCCCAGGGGAGGAACTCACAGAACTCCGCATGCGGGGAAGACCTGGACTCAGCCCTCCCTCTCCCGCCCCAGCAAGCCTTCCTGGAGCCCTGTGTTTGCACTACTGGGAAGTGCCTCCAGGGCAGGCTATACCTGGTGCTAAGATGATTGGGTACAAATGCTCATACTGAGAGTTGAGTTCAGCTGAGCTCTCTGGGTAAAGGTTTCATTCAGAAACTGGTCTGAAAGTTCCCCCATTGTCTTTTCAGATCTTCCATATTTTTAAGGTTTTGTTCTTTTATATTTTATCTGGCATTTTTAAATTGTGTTCAGTGAGAAAGTTAATCCAAATAATACTGTTAGCAGAAACCCTGTTTGTTGCGATCACTTTCTGAGTAATGATTTCTCAGTCTTCCATTGAGATAGTGTTTGCTTAAGTGTTTCTTATTGATTGTTTCCTTTAATGAGCAATAACCCAATGGAGAATTTTTGTGATCTAGTAGTTCCAAATACCTGTACTTACATTTAAATAGACATTCAGTAGTTTCTTTTCTAATCATGAGATGCTATCATAATAATCCTTGAAACTACGGCGTGTATTATGATAGGAATGGTGTCATTGCAACTCATGGGCTTCATAAAAGAATCTTTAATGCTGTGACTCATGGGAGATCCTCTGCCACTTCAGGAGCATGACTGGGGTACATGAAATTGACAATTCAGCTTCCCAAGGAGCATAACATTGTTTGAAATGTTACACACACTATGTTCAAGGCCGCTGATCAATACTTACTATATGGAAGTGGATGCATGCATTTAATTCTCGCCGAGCACAAGTGCTTAACTGAAATTTTCCCAGAGTTCACACTACTTAGTGTCTCAGCGATGGAAATCATCAGTATGGCCTACAGAGCAGTTAGAAATACCATAACGATTTGATTTGTTCCATTCATGGGGTTTCCAAAATATGTTATGATAGCAATGGGAAAAATAAAGGTGATTCTTTATTAGAAAATTCTGGTAATAATATACATAAGGCCTAAAATATATAATATATTTCAGTTCATTTAACTTAAAACAATAAACTAAACCATAATATCCTTTTTTTTTTATAAAGAACCTGCCATTTTGTAAATTTTTAAGTCTTTGGGGGTGAAATCAAGATGTCAGCATCCCCGTTTTCCTTTTGGAGGCTCTAAGGCAGTGGTTCTCAACCTTCCTAATGCCACGACCCTTTAATACAGTTCCTCATGTGGTGGTGACCCCCACTTTCATTGTTACAAATTCAACATAATTAAAGCATAGTGATTAATCACAAAAACAATATGTAGTTATATATGTGTTTTCCAATGGTCTTAGGCGACCCCTGTGAAAGGGTCGTGCGACCCCTGTGAAAGGGTCGTTCGACCCCCCAAAGGGGTTGCAACCCACAGGTTGAGAACCACTGGCTTATGTGAATGTTCAAAAGCTCAACAGTGACAGAGCTTGGTTTAGCTCTTCCGGAGGAATGAGGAGAGCAGATATGTACTCATTATTAATGGCTTCATTACTGTGATCATTTTGGTGCTCAGAGCATAGCAGATTTGGTCTAGCTGGCTCGTGTGTCCTTGTGATAAAGGACATGATTTTTTGAGCTACTCTGTACTTTCTGGCACAACACGGTATTTTTGGCTCAGCTTGTAACTTACCCTGGCCTGGCCCTGGAATCAGTGTTTTCTCTGAGGAGCCCTTTCCCTTTGGTGGGAAATGGAGTAGAGACCATACTCAGGGAACTAAGGTGCTATTTCCTGAGATGTCTTAGCTTCTAGGCCCTTTCACATTTATTGTCTTATAGTTCTGAGACATAGCTGGGAAATGTATATACATCTATGAACACACACATGTAACCCACTCATA